GTAGATTGCCCCATCTTCTTCCGAGGAGTGGCTCGTGGGTTTGAATCGCCAGCCTTCTGGTTAGCAGTCAAGTGCCTTAGCCACTTGAAAGTTCCAGGGTTGGCAGAGCATGGCAGGCTGCTGAACAATGACACGACTACATGCAGAGTTCAAGTGTGCAATAAACTAGAGAGTATTCCCTAAGGCTTCTCCTTATTTACAGGAAGCAGACCACATCCCTAAGACAGCTAGCCAGTCTCATCATGGGGAATACTACATCCAGCTGCCCAGCCACTCAACCAGGCCCAGCTGAGTTGACACACAAAGTTAACTACCACAGTTCCACCCCTTGTCAACTTAGCACCTGTACGGATCTTTAATGGGTGGCATCTCAACAGATCTCCTTCACTGGGTGATTCTAATCCCCATCTTCCTGAGTGGCGACCTCACCCCCTTGTACCGGTGGGCCCCGTTCCTGTACTTCTTGGGCATGGTAGCCCTGCCCCCTCTCTCTCGAGCAGCGGCTATGGCTCCATCCCACTGGCCCACATGAACGAGCAGCCCCAAACTCCAGAACCAAGTTGGTGAAGGTCTGACTCTTTGAAACCTAGGGGGCTATGATGGTCCATCCCCAGAAGCCATGGTCCTGACCTTTGAGGGTGGGGCAGTTCTGCTTCCTGTTTCCTTGGTCTCTCTGCTTCTGCTAATTAATGCCAAAGACAACCCTCTGCCAGAAATCTTCTACCCAGAAAGCACTCAGCTTTCTTGCTCTGTGGGCCAGCCAACCTCCTACTCTGTTTCATGCGAGTCTTTTCTACCATTTAATGCCCAAAGGCAACCCACTCTGCCAGGAAGCTGCCTGTGCAATGGCATCCAGTTTTCTTGTCCGTGGGCTGGTAAGGCTGTTGCTGTCTCATGCTGGTTCTCTTGGCTCTGCTCCTGCCATCTCTCATGCCGGTTTCTCAACTCTGCTAATGCTGTCTCTTATGCCACATACTGGGGTCTGTCTTCTGGGGTGTTGGGGCAAAGATGCATTTCACTCCTGTTTCCACATTTTAGGTATCTGTCAGAGCAGCACCCCCATTCCTGATACCATATTCTGTTCTGGTTTCCTAGTGCCACTCTGACGGGAATATACTACAAATGAGATGGCTTGTAACAAACGAGTTTATTCTCTTACAGTTTGGAGGCTTTAAAAGTCTGAGTTCAGAGTGCCGAGCTATAGGGGCTGGGTGAAAGCCCCTCAACCTTGGGCTTCAGCTCTGCCTCCTGCTCCCATCTTACTGAAGCTGGGAGGCTTTTCTTCACTCAGACAGCTGCTGACTGCTGAGGCTAACAAGCCCAAGGTTGACAAATAAAAAGGCACAGTCCCAATGTTACCAAACCACATGGCAGGCCATTAATTCAAATTTGTTGAAAGTCCCAAGGTCGGCAGAGCATGGCAGGCTGCTAAACAATGACATGGCTACATGCTGGGTTCAAGTGTACTATAAGCTAGACACTACTCCCCAAGGTTTCTCCTTATATACAGGAAACAGACCACATCCCTAAGGCAGCTACTCAGCTACTCACAGTAGATTCCACTGAGTTGATGACCAATGTCATCATGGGGACTACTATATCCAGCTGCCGAGCCACTCAACCAGGCCCAGCCAAGTTGACACACAAAGTTAACTACACATGCATTGTTAAACACGGTAAAACAATAGTAATTGCTCAATAAATGTTGAACTGTTTTAGGCATTTTCATAAGTTCTTTATGCGTATTTTCTCTTTTGTCTTAATAACTCTTTGAGGTAGGTCCCTTCCCCACATTTTATACATTAGGTAGTAAGTGGCAAAGCCATGATTCTAACCTAGGTCTATCTGAAACAAAAGCCTGTGACTTTCCAAAACGTAATACCCATTTTGATTGCTGAGGATTTTCTGCATCTTTATCATATGTTTTAATTCTGATTTTCTGTATTTTTAAGACATAATATTGAATGACCTCATTCGTTACCTCTTCTTTGGAAATTCTGTTGATTAAGAAAGATTTATAAATTATCCACTAATGGATGTCTGTCATCAAGCCCTTCTTAATTATTGTCAGTATAGTACTTAAGAATGTTCCTGGTGTTAATGTGCTTCCATAAACATGGGGCAGTTCTGCTCTGTCCTGTAGGGTCACTGTAAGTTGAAATCAACTTGATGACAAAGGGTTGGATTATTGTAAATAAGATGAGAGTCTAGGTGATTTTTTTTTTTTTAAATACTCTTTCTATATTTTTAAAGCAATAAGCCCATGTTACTTTTACAGTCATAAATTATTGCTTAATGTCACTAGAGATACTATTATACAGTACGATCATAATTATGTTTTTAAAAAATATGCATACACACATATATACACACAAATACTGAGGGCTCGATTCCAAAATGCTAAGGGTTTTTTAGTCTGATTAGTTGTAGTAATTTTTTCTCTCTCCTTTTTTTTTTTTTAACATTGTATTGTATATTATGTCATAATTTGATACTGGGAAAAGAAACCTTTCTCAAAAGAATATTTGACAGCTGCTCAGTTTTATGTTAATTTTTCTGGTAATTATTAACTTAAATAGATTATTTAGCTATATGTAGTTGTTGTTGTTATGTGCTGTTGAGTCGGACCCGACTCATAGCAACCCCTCCTTGGGTTTCCGAGGCAGTATCACTAAGGAAGTATGTTGCTCCACCTTCCTTCCAAGGAGTGGCATAGTATACATAATTTTTAAAAAGTGTTTTAATGTTTGTAATATTCATTACCAGGCCTAATTTTTTTACTCCTTTCTGCATTTTTATCCTTCTGATTTTATTGTTTTATAAATTTGTTTATATTTTTAATTTTAGGAGCCCTGGTGGTATAGTGCCTAAAGCATTTGACTGCTAACCAGAAGGCTGGCGGTTCAAACCTACCAGCCACTCTTTGGAAGGAAGATGGGGCAATCTACTTCCATAGTGATACTGCCTCGGAAACCAAAGGAGGGTCACTATGAGTCAGGTCTGACTCAACGACATATAACAACAACAACATTTTTAATTTTATGTATTTAAAGGATATTATAGGAATGGTGGGTTTTTCTTAGTCCTTGCATGTCTGAAAATGCCTTTTCTTTGGCTTTCCTAGGAAAGTAAATTAGGTAGACTCTTTTTTTTTCTTTTTATTGTGATTTAGGTGAAAATTCACAGAGCAAATACACTTTCCATACAGCAGTTCACATATACTTTGTCTCATGACGCTGACCACAATTTACCACAATGCAACATCTCCCCTCCCACTTCCTCCTGATAGTTACCTCTTCCCTGTGTCCATCACTCCATGCACTCCTATCCCCTGAGCTGTCTCCCTGTGCATAAATAGCCCTTCTTTCTCTCATGCTTGTTCTCTCCAAGGAGTGTATCTACCTCAGGTAAATGTTCAACTCATATGCCTGTCTATTGTTTGGCTGGAAGCCACAGGTTCAATTCCAGACCTGAAGGGCAGCTAGGGGCCATAGTTTCAGTGGTTCCACCAGGCTCTATCGGGCCAGCAAACCTGTTCCCGCTTTTTTTTTTTTCCCCCCAAATGATTTTGAGTTTTGTTCCACATTGTTTTCCCTGGTAGACTCTTTCTTAGAACTTCTTAGAACTGTGAAGATCTATTTTTATATTTTTCTCCCCTGAGCATTTCATGTTGAAGAAAAGTCTGCTTTTTGTTTGTTTGCATCCTGTCTTCTTTATGTCCATGATACCTGTTTATCCTGTGTTGCTAGGATGTGTCTAGGTAAAGAGCATTGTTCTCTTTTATGTGCATATAGCTGATATATACATACATATTTACTGGTTTTGTTCTTTTTTCCTTTTAATTACTGAAGTTATACAAGGTCATTGTAGAAAACTTTGAAAACAATAAAGAAGTGTTATGCATTAAATTTGGTGCCAGTGAAGCATCAGTTTTATAGTCTTGACAGATTCATTCATTCATTCATCAATTTTGTCTTTGATCAAGAGATTTTTTTTCCCTCCTTGTAAGTAATTTTAGATGATCTTAATGGATATAAACATATTTTAAAAATCCTGACTTTTTGGAAAGTTTTAATAATTTCCTTCATATTTAAGCTAATTTCTTGAATTTGTACATTAAGAGATCTATTGTGAAATGAAAATTGAGAATATATTTAGATTTTAAAACAAAAAAATTGCAATTTCATGTGATCAACATTGATTGTGAAATTGTGACTTATTTTGAAAATCTTTTAAAAGGTATAACAGAGAACCAGGGCTATATTTCTTATTTAAATTAATATATTTTAATATGTACATATGAGAGAAAATAAACTTATGAGAAAAGTAGGAACTTATAACTTATTATTCAAATTCTACATTAATTTAAGATCATAATTTGTTTTACATATGTACTGTTTTTAATAGAGATACTCTTTAGACTAGCTTTTTAAAATGTATATTTTATATTAGGTAGGTTTAAAAACTCTCACCTGTTAATGAAGTTTATAAATTTTTTGAGGGAGATTAATGAATTTAAATAGATTATGTAGCTGTATGGCATATAATTTTTAAAAAGTGTTTTAATGGTTGTAATACATTAACAGTTAATAATAAGCATACATACACATCCAAACTAAATCAAACTCAACTGCTGTTGAGTTGGATCTGACTCATAGTGACCCCTCCTTGGGTTTCCGTGTTGCTGTCACTGTGGAAGTAGATTGCCCAACCTTCTTTCTGAGGAATGGCTGGTGGTTTTGAACCACCAGCCTTCTGGTTAGCAGTCAAATGCCTTAGTCACTATGCCACCAGAGCTCCTTATATACACATACATACACACTGTTTTTTGTCTGTCTGGAGTACAATCATGACAAAAAAATGGTTTATTGCTTTGTTGTATTCAGTTATGTAAATTAAGTTTTTTTGTGGAAGAAAGAAAACCAGTTTGCTTTTGGAAATTAGATGTGCTTTGTTCAATTAGATTTTTAAAATAAAGTAATAACTATTTTCTTTCCTAGCTCTGTGCCTGGTTACATGTTAATGAAAGCTGTTTTAGGCAATCCTCAAATTGTAGTTCCATTGGACTTCAGGAGACATCTTCTTTGAATGCATATGTAAAGAACCTAGTTCAAGAATATATTAAGTCTTCTGCTTGGGAAAGTAAGTCTGAGATCTTTTTGTTTTTTTTTCCCCTTGAATACTTAATTGTGCTTTAGGTGAAAGTTTACACAGTGAATTAGTTTCTATTCAAAAATTCATACACCTGTTGTTCCATGGCATTGGTTGCAGTCTTTGCAGTGTGTCAGCATTCTCCCCCTTTCTTCCCTGGTTCCACATTTCCATTTGTTTGGTTTCCCTGCCCCTTCTTGCCTTCTCATCTTTGTTTTTGGACAGATGTTGCCCTTTTGGGTTGATTGTTCTAAGGAGCACAGTCCTCACAATTATTGTTTATTTTATAGGCCAGTCTGTTATTTGGTTGAGAAGTAACATTTTTACATTAGAAAGGTAACTTAGGACAGTAGTCTTGAGGGTTCTACCAGTCTCTCTCAGACCAGGAAATAGTTTTTATAAATTGGAATTTTATTCTATGTTTTCTACCTATTTTAACTAGGACCTTCTATTGTGTCCTTGGTCAGAATGTGTGGTATTGGTAGCCATGCACCGTCTAGTTGTTCTGGTCTCTGATTGGAGGAGGAGGTGACTCATTGCTTCCTTGAGTGTTTAGTTTTCTTCACTCAGCTTTGCTTTGGACAGGAAGAGACCAATAGTTGTGTCTAAGATGGCTGCTTGTAAGCTTTTAAGATCACAGACACTATTCACCAAATGTGGATGTAAAACATCTTTGTGTACTGAGCTGTGTTAGTTGGTCTAGATGTTCCCTGAAACTATTAACATAATTTTTATGGATTGATATAACCAGAATATTTACAAAGAATTTTTATTAATTTTTCAGATGAAAATTGATGCTTAATCAAATGTTAGGTGAAATAATGTGAATGAATAATAGAATATAAAAAATACTGTTTCTTGTACCTTATCTGTTCCAAATATGTAATATAGTATATATGTTGTTGTTGTTGTTATGTGCCGTCGAGTCGGCCCCGACTCATAGCGACCCCTCCTTGGGTTTCCGAGGCAGTATCACTACAGAAGTAGGATTGCCCAACCTTCCTTCTGAGGAGCGGCTGGTAGGTTTGAACCGCCAGCCGTCTGGTTAGCAGGCAAGTGTCTTAGCCACTATGCTACCAGAGCTCCCAGTATATATGTAGTATACTATATTACATATTTTCAGAAACTAGTAAGTTGTCAAAGTAGGAATTAGGTAATAGCCTTGCTCCACATCCTACATTGGTGAGTAGTGACTGGGGTCTTAAAAGCTTTCAAGCGGCCATCTAAGATGCAGCTAATGGTCTCCTAGTGTTGGAAGTGAACAAAAACGCAAAACAAAAAGGGGGGGGCATTTGGAAGCAATCAGCCATGGGACACAATGGCCCTTGAGACCAGAAGAACTAGATGGTGCCCGGGTGCCAATGCCAACCACTCAGGAAAGGATCAAATCTGGAGACGTAGATCAAATCTAGAGTGGGAGGGAAAGCATGGAACAAAATCCAAAAACTGAATGATGACAAGAATTATTGGTCAGATGATATCTGATGGGACCTCCAATACTGTGGCCCTGGAATATATTCTGTGCCTGGAATAAAACGCACCCCCAGGGGCTGGCTCTCAGCCCAGTAGTTAACAAGATGTACACGTAGACCACTCAACCCAGGATGACACACCCACATACTCTATGGTAATACATCCCTTAGAGCAATAGACCATGGGGCACCAGAGGACCAACATTCAAATGGAGGAAATGCAGGACAAATGGGAGTGCATATATATGAGGGGCATGGGGGGGGGTGTTACAGGGTAGGGAGGGGAGGAAACTGGGTTGGGGTTAGATGTGGTAAATGGGGAATGAAACTAAATGTACACATAACGTTGAATGTAAAACAAGCTCTAAAAATTAAAAAAATTAAAAAAAAATATATCTTTCCCTTATTGATAGTCCAAAACATTAGATTTCTCCCCATGGCTGTGGATGTGGATGTTTGACTCTCCCCTGGAGTCAAAAGATAGCTGATTATATGATTGCTAATGAAAATACAGGGAACTAAATTGTGTATTTGCAGTTGATTTCATTTTAGTCTTTGTTTATGAATGAATTTTCAATATAAAATGTGGGATATAAAGCATAATATAAGTAAACGTGTTTCAGAGAACAAGTTTTAGCAGTTCACATTTATAATATTTCTAAGTTAGCCTGCTGAGTATTTCTAAAAAATACTAGGATTCAGATTGTTTTTTCATATAAGCAAATTTTGTATTCATGGCAATTAAAGGGCATTTATGGCATTTAAGAAAGCATATCAAATGAAGTTCATCCTTTTGAAGTTCCTTTTGAACTGAGTTGTCCTATATATGGATGTTTTTAATGTTGTGTCTTCTGTACTATTTCTGTAAGTTTGCCATAAAAGCATGTTAAATTGCCCCCTAAATAATAAAGTTTTAAAAATATTTTAAGTATTTGAACCACTGGACAGCTAAAACTTTTATTTAAATTTTTCTTGGGGAGTGGAAGTGAAGAGTATAAAATATAGCAATATACTATGAATCAGAAAGAGAATTTTCTAGCCATTACTTATTTTACTCTGGCTTTCAGAGATGGGAAAATACTTGTTTTATTGGTTAAGCAAGTTCTATCTTCCAACACCAGTTCTAACTTAATTTTTATGATCAATGCTAAGAAAGTCATAATGTTATTAGTTTAATTTCATAGAGAATGAAATGAAAATCTCAGAGAGCTTTATTGAATTGCCCAAGATTTCACAGCAAATAATTGTTGTTATGTGCCGTGGAGTCGTACCTGACTCATAGCAACCCCTCCTTGGGTTTCCAAGGCAGTATCACTACAGAACTAGATTGCTCCGTCTTCCTTCCGAGGAGTGGCTGGTGGGTTTGAACCGCCAGCCTTCTGGTTAGCAGTCAAGTGCCTTAGTCACTATGCTACCAGAGCTCCCGAAATTCACGGACAGGTCTGAGACACTGAAACCTACATATGCATTACATTTTCTTTCTGGTTATATTTTAGGGAAGACTCATCTTGCAACTGAAGTACTAGAATTACCTTTCAAATGGTCACCTTATATTTAATTTACTCTTGTATCCTCTGATTGTGAAATTTTTCTGTTTTTCCTAGTGAAATCTTTTCAAAATTTTGATCTTGTACATTCTTCTCCCCCTTCTTTGTATACATTCAGTTTAACCTTTTGTCTTGCAGACAAATAGAAAAATTTCTTTACAAGGCCTATAAAGATCTTCCTGGCCTCTCCCATACCTGTTTCTGTAGTCTCATCTTTAGCAATTCCTTCTCACTTTGTGTACCCTAGCCACATTGGGATTCTTCTGTTTCTTGGAATAAGGCATGCACTTTCTTCACAAAGGACCTTTGCCATAAGCTTCTTTATGTCTGGAATGTTTTTCCTCCATCCAGCTCATTCCTGCAACTCTGCTCAATTATAGAAACAATTCATAGAACCATTTCCTTATTTGCCAGAGGAGAGTATGTCCTCCTAGTGTACAATCTCCTACCATAGTGTACTTCTCCTTCGTAGCCTTTACTACAATGATAATTTTACATTTCTTTGTATAGTCTTTGTTTAGTGCTTTTCTCCTATACTTACTGTAAATTCCATAATTTTAGAAACCATTGTGTCTTTAGCACCCAGGTGAGTGCATGGCATGCAAAGATTTGTTTTATTCATGTTCATGATGTGTTCATATTTAAATATGTGTAACATTTATATATTAAACCCACTGCCATTGACTGGGATGTGACTCATAGTGACTCCACCTTGGCTTTCTGAGTCAGAATCACTATGGAAGTAGATTGCCCAATCTTCCTTCTGAGGAGTGGCTGGTGGGTTTGAACCACCAGCCTTCTGGTTAGCAGTCAAATGCCTTAGGCACTATGCCACCAGAGCTCCTAATATTTATATATTCCTTGTTGTTGTATTATACATGATATAATTATTATAATAATTATACATATTTAAATATATATAATAATGAGCCATGCTTTCGAGTTTTCTGCTGTATTTCATCTCAGCTATGTTTCTCTAATAGTTCAATAGTGATGAAGTACAATCATGAAGATATTTTCTTTTGACATACCATCTTTGGAGGATTTTATTAATGCTTTGAAACCTTAAATATTATTTTTAGGAGAAAACAGCTTTATGCCTGATTGGTTTGAAGCCAAGCTTCTTGCTTTGATGATCTTACTGGCTGTAGATGTGGAAGAAATGAGGAATCAATATAGGTAAGTGCTTCTAAACTTGAAAGGAAAGCTTAAGAAAAAGAAAAAGCTAACAGGTTTATGGTGTGTATTCAGATTTTAATAAATGGTGTAGCATATTAAGGGAGAGTTTTAGAACATTGGCAATATATGAAAAATGTTTTAAATTACTAGGAATAAGGGCATATTGGTACTTTGAGATGGGTAAATCGTTCAATTAGAGAAGATTAAAAAAAAGCTATATGATAATCATTGGTTATAATATTAGAACATGGGTTGAAAGATCCTACTGTAGGATTTTATAAAGAAATTAAATGGATTTGACACCTTTGTAAAATGTGTAATTAAAAAAAATTATGGTAATATAGGTAAAGCAATCTCATTTATATTTTGAGAATGTGAACAGATCAATTCTACTGTAAAAAGCAGCTTCCTTTGGTAGTATATTTGCATGATATACAGTTAGTTTGATTTGTACCAAATCTCTTTTCTAGGTAAAGTTTTCATGCTGAAGTTAATCTATTTGATTTTTCATAAATCTTTAATTGTGCATCTTTATATTATTTTTAATGTATCTCTTTTCTTTGACTAGCATACTGTTTTTTTTTTGTATTATGGAAGCAGGTAGTAATAAAGCTCTTAGCTTTTTTTTTTTTGGATACAAGATTTCTTTCATACTTGTGCCTGGAGTTGAGTATATGTTCTTCCCTGTGTTTCTTCTCTAGTTAATTGCTAGCTCACTGAGAAAGCACAGGCTGAAAGATCAGTAGGAGGATTGGAGAGAAAGATCAGTCCTGATATGTGCTAGGTGTCTTGATCATCCATAAGAGTAATTTTGTCTAGTTGAATCACTTAGTTAGCCATTTCCATAAATTAGAGATGAAAAATAATTTATTTTTGCTTTTGAAATGCTTTATTTGGGCATGTCTTTTAATATCTAGTGAAAAGCGGAGAATACAGAATATATTAAGGATATTCTTAGATCCTCTTCTGGATGCCCTTATGAAGTTTGGTACAAATGCCTACATACCTTTGCTGAAAACTGACAGATGCCTCCAGTTGCTGTTGAAGTTATTGCATACTTGCTTGTTGAAAGTTTCCAGTACCCAAGATGGTGAGGATAAATGGTTTCTGTTGGTTTTTTGCTTGGTATATCATTAATATTTAGAATAAAAGGATATTTCTACTGTTTTGAAATACAGAGCATCCTTTATTCTGTCAGCAAATATTTATTGGGTATCTCCTGGTGGTAGTGTTCTCTAAGATACTAGAGATAGAGTAGTTGCACCCTCTGCCCTCATGGTGTTGACATTCTAGTGGGATCTGCCCATTGGTAATAGAGACTTTAGAGTGTAATTTCATTTTTTTTTTTTTTTTTAAATTTAAGCTTGCTCATTGATTTTTAAACCTTTGAAAATGAACTCTACCTATATGTTTAAGCAGGATCCATTTCTGTCACTATGCTAGATGTTGTGGAAAGTAAGCTTAAAAGTGAAAATGACAGTAATTTTTGTAATTACTTGAAATATTTTAATCTCTTAATTATAAAAATAACTGTCATTTATGATTATTTAAAATATGTTAATCTCTAGGAGCTCTGGTAGCGTAGTGCCTAAGACACTTAACTGCTAACCAGAAGTGGTTTGAACCACCAGCCACTCCTCGGAAGGAAGGTTGGGCAGTCTACTTCCATAGTGATACTGCCTCGGAAACTCAAGGAGGGGTCGCTATGAGTTGGGTCCTACTCGATGGCAAATAACAACAACAACAACAACAACAACGTTAATCTCTGAAAACATTTAAGTAGAATATAATCCTACAGAAAATAGAGTATGAGTAAATAGAAGCAGTAGCTCTTTCCTCTCTCCTCAAACTTGTTGTTGTTGTTGTTGTTATGTGCCGTCAAGTTAAACCCGACTCATAGCGACCCCTCCTTGGGTTTCCGAGGCAGTATCACTACGGAAGTAGGATTGCCCAACCTTCCTTCCGAGGAGTGGCTGGTGGGTTTGAACCGCCAGCCGTCTGGTTAGCAGGCAAGTGTCTTAGCCACTATGCTACCAGAGCTCCCTCCTCAAACTTAGGTATATATAAAACATTCATACAAGACTCATGGGCATTACAGATGAACATGTTGATGGATGAGTCTTGATTCCCACTGCTTTCTGACTAATTTCTTTTGGAAGTTTAGAAATTTGCTATATAAAAATTCTAGAGAGGCATTGGTGGTGGTGGTATGTTATGTGCCATTGAGTCGGACCTGACTCATAGTGACCCCTCCTTGGGTTTCCAAGGCAGTATCACTACGGAAGTAGATTGCCCAACCTTCCTTCTGAGGAGTGGCTGGTGGGTTTGAACTGCCAGCCTTCTGGTTAGCAGTTAAGTGCTTTAGGCATTATTGTTAAGGTTAAATATCAGTTTCTAAGTCTTGATATTTTTGATGTTGATAACAGAACCAAGTGCTGTAAATATTACAGTAACCTTTTATAAGATCTTCAACTGCTTAAGGGCATAAGTCTGGATGCATTTAACATTTCTTGACTACTTTTTACCAGGCAGTTATGCTCAGCGCTTTGAAATAGAGGGCTGGTTTTACATATGCCTTTTAAAAAATTATAATATTTGATACAAACCAAAGAATATGTGATAGTTACATATGTTAAGATTCCAGAATAATTAAACAAACACTTGAGAATTCACCACGTAGTCTAAGCACTAATCTGTTAGTTCTTAGTCCCCTCCTTTTGCCTCCTCTTTTGTAACTACCATGTACTTTAAAAAATGTATTATGTATGTAGATATTCTAAACCATATATTACCTGGTTTTCTTGAATTTAAGCTTTATAAAAAGCTATCTTATTATAAGCAGTCTTCTATAAACTTACTTTCCATATATTATTCTGAGGCATGCATCTCCTTGATGTAGTTGTTCCTCGTAGTCCTGTCTTCTGTCTTTTGTTTGGTTGATAGTTGAGCCATGGAAGTGAGTCCAATTCCAGGCCTGAAGGGTGTCAAGGGGCCATAGTCTTGGAGGTTTCACCAGTCTTTATCCTGGTCTTTTCTATGTTTTTTGAATTTTTACCTATATTTTTTCACCCACTCTATCCAGGATCTCTAATTTTGATACCTTTCCAAGTGGTTGGCATTGGGAGCCAGGTACCACTTAGTTCTTCTGGTCTTAGGGTCATGTAGGCTGAAGTTCCCATTGTCCATTAGTCCCATGGACTAATTGTTTCCATATGTGTTTGAGTTGGAATCAACTCAATGGCAGGGAGGTTTTATTTTATTTTATTTTCTTCAATCTTCTTTGCTCCAGATGAGGAGAGACCTGTAGTTAGTTGCATCTTAGATGGCTGCTCACAAACTTTTAAGACCCCAGTCACTATTCACCAAAGTAGAATGTACAACACTGTTTTTCTGTGCTGTGCTTTGCCCATTGAACTTGATGTCCCCTGTGACCATGGTCCTGAGCCCACAGGCCCAGTGGCTTACTGTCAAGGTTCTTGGTTGTGGCTAAGAAATTACCCTGACTTTGTCCCCTGTTAGCTCTATAATGCATGTAGACTTTTTTATAGCACATGCAGATACGTATATAGGAATATCATCTGCTAAACCTATGTATGGTCATGGATATATTTCCATTTACCTATCCGTACCTGATTCTCTATGTATCCACCTATAGATTAGTGTTTGGTATTACTGATAATAAGGAGCTCTGATCATGCGGTACCTAAGGCATTTGACTGCTAACCAGAAGGTTGATGATTGAAACCCACCAGCTGCTCTGCATCGGGAAGATGGGGCAATCTACTTCCTTAAAGATTTGCTGCCTTGGAACCCCAGTGGGCATTGCTATGAGTCAGAATCAACTCAATGGCAGTGAGGTGTTTTTTTTTTTAATGATAATGTGCAATATTGTATATGTAGTTGTATTCACCTGTGTTTTCTGTACCTCCTGGGCACCTCTCTGTGTCTTTGTTTTCTTCAGAGATACTGTGCTGATCACACACCTTTCCCTTCACTCAAATCAACTCATGTTTTTTAACTAGTGAGTGCTTTTTCCTCCTCTCTCCTCTCATCCCTGGTAACCAAAAAAGATACTTTCCTTCCCTGTATAACCTTTTCCTTGACTTTTTATACTAATGGACTCATAAACAGTATTTGCCCTTCTGTGATTAACTTATTTCACTCAGCATAATGTCCTCCAAGTTCATTCCATTATGAGGTGATTCGAGAATTATTCATTATTCTTTAATGTTACATAGTATTCCATTGTTGTACCATACTTGTTTATCCATCCATATGTTGATGGCACTTAGGTTGTTTCCATCTCTTTGCTATTGTGAATAGTGCTGCACTGAACATGGGTGTGCATATATCTATTTGTGTCCCAGAGCTCACCTCTTTTGGATATATTCCTGGTAGTGGGATTACTGGATCAAATGGTATTTCTATTTCCAGCTTTTTAAGGAAGTGCCATACCATTTTCCAAAATGGAAAATTACATTCCCACCAGCAGTGTATAAGAGTTCCAGTCTCTCCACACTTTGACCAGCATTTGTTTTCTGTCTTGTTGAATTTTGCTCTTGTTGCCAGGATGAGATAATATCTCATTGTCATTTTGATTTGCATCTCTCTAATGGATTTTGATTGCAAGCATTTCTTCATGTGTTTTTTGGCCACCTGCATATCTTCTTTGGTGAAGTGTTCATGTTCCTTGCCCATTTTAGAATTGGATTGTTTGTCTTTTTGATTTTGAGGTGTTGAAGTTTTCTGTACATTTTAGAGATAAGTCCCTTGTTGGATATGTGATTGCCAATTCCCACCGACCCCCCAAAAATCTTTAAGTTCTCTTTTTACTCTTTTGAAGGAGTCTTTTGATGCTCCTAAGATTTTAATTATTAGAAGGTAATCCTATCAAAGGTCAGAGTGCTACATGGTTAAAGAAAAAGTTAAGATGAGGGAAATTGGAATGGAGGGCTGTTATGGATTGAATTATGTCCCCCCAGAATATGTATTGTAAATCCTAACCTCTGTGCCTGTAGTTATAATCCCATTTTGAAATGAAATCCCCTTTTGAGTCAGTCTCTTTTGAGATATAAAAGAGATTAAATAAGCAAGCAGAGGGAGACATGGGGGAAGAGAGATACTAAACCACATTGAGATCACCCAGGAGATAAAGCCTCCCCCTAGAACTGATGCCCTGAATTCAAGCTTCTAGCCTCCTGAACTATGAAGGAATAAATTATTTGGCAACATTTCTGTTATAGCAGCATTGGAAAACTAAGACAAGGGTTCATGGCTGAATGCCTTTTTTTCTTCTCCTTCATGGAAACTGCGATAATCACTGTGCTAATACTTTATGCCTCTATCAATGTTACATTGGATTATCTGGGCCAAAGTAATATGCCTTAAATAATTACACATCTTCTGTCCTAACTACTTGCTGATTTTGTTGCTGTAGAGGGTATGATCATCTTTGCTACATCTCACTTTTTCCTGTGTTGTTGTTGCTTTCTGGCCTTGATTAATCTTGTATCTAGTTTTACTTTACTTCCCAAGTAAAGTTAAGTGGTACCACTTACCTTAGGGTTGAATTTACTCTTGTCAGTTACATGAGGCATAGAGTAGGAAACAAACTATAAACACCATCCTGGTCCATCTTCAGTCACAGAATTGTGTATATTTTGTTGTTGTTGTTGTTGTTATGTGCTGTTGAGTTGGACCCGACTCATAGCGACCCCTCCTTGGGTTTCCAAGGTAGTGTCACTATGGAAGTAGATTGCCCCATCTTCCTTCCGAGGAGTGGCTGGTGGATTTGAACCGCCAGCCTTCTGGTTAGCAGTCAAGTGTCTTAGGCACTATGCTACCAGAGCTCCCGTGTATATTTTGTAGCAGGATGTTAAATTTAGAGATGTGTCAATGAGTTGAGAGTGAAATAGAATTTCTTCTGTATTGTGGTAATTAAAAGAAACCACCATGGTATTGATGATAAATATCAGAAGGAATGACAACGTCTACTTTTTTTCTTCATGTCACTTTGTTTTTTGTTCTGTAAGTTTAAATTTACTTTTGTAGTTGTAATCTTAAATTTCTTTTAATCTAACGGGAAAGAAT